GACTGTGCTGCTATCAATTCAAGTACATACCAATTATAGTTATGGGCTTAGACACCTAATCCAACAATTTTGTATGCTAGAATCAGGTTATGCATATATGATTTGTTTGTGGGTGGGGCCCGTATCTCAATCGAGTGTGGGTGGGGCCCGTATCTCAGTGGGCGGGGCCCATTATGTTCTTAGTTGTATTTGGTATGAGGTATCTTGGAAAACTCACTAAGCTTTGTGCTTATGGTTTTCAGTTTATGTTTCAGGTACTCTAGTTTTCAAATGAAAAATAAATATTGAATTCGGAAAAAATAATACAGAAGGGTAAAATGGTAATTTTTATGATTCAGACAACAATTCAGATGTTCCAACCAAACAACATGATAAAAATTCAGATCTTAAAAATTCAGACCCTCTTAGAAATTCAGACCTCTTAAAAATTCAGATCTTAATAATTCAGATCCTGCCACACAGCCCCTTAGACTTATAGCACATGTATTTATCTAATGTGTGAGATCGGAAACATTTTAAAGTTGAGTTCAAAACAACAATATACATGAATATTAGGAGTTACTATTTAAGATATTTAACAAATCTATCTTGGATGTCACATTCCTCTATAACTAATTTCTAGTTTCGAATCTGAATAACTTATTGGTCGTTATAAGTGTGTAAATGTTAAATGACTACTATGATAATAAAGACTTTAATAAAGACTTGATAACAATAAGTCAATGATTTTGCATTTGTAAGAATTGGAACATATCATGGAAGATTGGAAGTGATCTATCATTATTCATGACCCTTCCTGAATCGACCCGACCCACGATCCTTCTTCCAACACAGTGATGCGTTATATCCCTTTCGATGGTTTAGACGGAGTTTTGCTCACCCTTATAATGAAGGGACTGGTTTTGACAAAATAGAACTACATGTGCTTAAAGTTAAGTTGAGAAAAACTGGAGGTGGCAAATTGTCAATTCATATGATCTCCCCTTTTCGTTGATTGATAGATCGTAAAACCAAGGGTTTGTCTTGGGGAGCTAAACCCTACTACTGAAACTCTACTTCTGCTCAAAATTTTCTAGGGTTTTGTATCAATTGCTCAATCATGTCTAATTTAGATATGTCTCTCGATGATATGATAAAGGCGAACAAGAAATCACGAGGGTCTGACAACCCTAGATCTAAAGCTCGCAATTCCGGCCCTGGCCCCTCTCGCCGTTTGCCAAATCGTGCCTCCAATAGGTCAACACCATATGGCGCTCAAAAGGTACGGAATTTAAGACAAAGTTTGATTGATCCGTCGAATAGTAGGTTTTACGTGCTTGCAATGGTTACTAGATCTCATCAAAGAAGTGGCGTAACAAAAAGATTCAATATCTAATGAATGTCAGAAGTAAACCTAATTGGGATTGCGGGATTGATTTTGCTTTAATGTGTCTAGATTTGGGGCTAAGTTACTTTCCAGTTTCCTCTCTTCAACAGTATTGACTCTTTATGGTCTTGTTTGATATATCCTACAGGTTGAAGCACCAGATACAACATGGGGACACGAAATGTTCGAAGGTCATGCTGCAGCACACCCTGCAAGATCAAACAGGGTGTCGTCAGGAATAGAGACTGGCACTAAACTTCTTATAGCTAACTTGGATTATGGTGTTTCTAATGACGATATCAAGGTACATTTGTAGGATTTATGTGAGTCTTAATCAATATATTATGACTATAAAGCTTCTATTTTCTTGGAGCATTAAAAGTGTTTTATTTATGCAGGAGCTGTTTGCAGAGGTTGGTGACATAAAGCGAGCATCAATACACTATGATAGAAGTGGCAGATCAAAGGTACTTGATTTTGGGAATAATCTCATCCTTTCAAGAAATTTTATTGCTTGGTGGAGTTATGAGAGTTTTTTTATTAGGGAACTGCAGAAGTAGTCTTTTCAAGGCGTAGAGATGCAGAATTGGCTATTAAAAGATATGATAATGTTCAATTAGATGGAAAGCCTATGAAGATTGAATTAATAGGAACAAACATGGGAAACGATGGTGCTGCTTTCATGCCTCCTGCTTCCAATTATGGAGGGCAAAATGGTCCAGCCTCAAGGTATTATCTGTTTCCTGATAGAATTCTGATTTGTGATCAAGTAGTGGACTCTTTTTGTCTTTTTATTTGAGTTATTGACATATAACTTTGGAAACAGGGGTGGGGTTATGGGGAGACTTAGAGGTGGTGCTCGGACAATGAGGGCGGCAGGGGGTGGAGGAGGGGGAGGTGGTGGTGGTGGTGGTGGAAGAGGTAGGGGTGGTGGCAGTGGCAGAGGCAGAGGAAGGGGTAGAGGGGGAGAACGTGGTGAGAAGGTGTCTGCAGAAGATTTGGATGCAGATTTGGAAAAGTACCATGCTGGATCTATGCAGACAGATTAAAGCAAGATAGACAGATAAACTTGAAAGGGCAGTTTGGGGTTTTCCACTTGAAGGGTGAAGAGGTGTTGTTTGTATTCTTCAGTTTTTTTTCTGCTTACCCTTTTGAACGAGAGGATATTGTAATGTTTGAGATGCTGAATGTTTTATTTATTAAAGCGGTTGTTTGTTAACTTGGAATATGTTCGGTATGAAAGAAATTGTAACTGTGCATATGGATCTTATTTTGGATGCTATAAAAGACATATTGACATGAACACAGGGTCATGAAATTATATTTTGCATTTGGTAGTTATGTGTAATGTTTGTTAAAGATTGAATGTGAAACAAACTAGCCAATTTCTATGCACAAGTTAATATTTTACATCTTTGTAGCATTCATTATACATAGAAGTGACCAAAGTCCAAAGTTGATAGGGACATTGGATTTTTTCGTTTTGTTCACACATCTAACCACTAACCAAAAACTATCACATTTTGTAACCTTAAATGATACCCATTTCGTATGGCATAACTAGTTAAAACATGTTTTCAATTGTAGTGGTGATTCATATATATTTCTCTAACAATGGGTTTCATTTTATTCCACTTTGACTGTTGGATCGTGGATGATGCATTCTACTCCAACCCCAACCCCAACTTCATGCTCATTCTTATTGTCCATTTTTGTGTTTTTAACTTTTTCATTGTCTTCAGACTCTGCCATATCAAGAATAGAATTGATGTTTTCATCACATAACGTGTGTATCAAGAACCAAAATTGGTGTTTTCATCACATAATGTGTATCAGGAACGAAATTAATGTCTTCATTACATAATATGTTAACGAAACCATCCTTGTATATGTTGTTGACTTTTGATTTGAAATCATCTTACTCTCCAACGTGTATTAGAAAGTCTTCTAACGCATCATCTTCCTAATCGTCATTTACCTACTAAGATATGTTTTCTTGGGGTGGCGAGGCCACAATCTAATCACTGCAACTTAAATATACAAATTTTAACAACATTTAACAGACGCAAATTGAAAAAATGAGAAGATTTCTACGTTTAGAGACTTTTTTAAAGATTTCTTGCAACTTAGTTCATTCCCAACCCGAAAACTGAAAAGAGATTGGCTCTAACCTTTAGAATAATATTTTGTATAAATAGATCATTTCTTAGTCCTCAACCCCTAAACACTACAAACCCCCTTAATTTCAACTTTAACCCAAGTATTAATGAACCGCAGGAAAACCAATCTCATATATATAACTTAACCAAAATTTTACAACATTTTTGCCGGCAGTAGGAGTCTAAATTATAAAATAATACAATCTCACCTTCAAGTTTATCCCACTATTCATAAACCCTCCAAAACTTAAACTTACAAAAACGCAACGCATTAAATGCAAAAAAGAATAATAGGCGACCTCAATCTCTGCGCATTTTCTTCTGCATCTTATCTTGGCTACGAAACCTCTCCCTTCTTTCTTCCCTTTGACGTTTCTTTGTCACCACTTCTTCCTTAGCTTTCTCCACATCGTACTTTTTCTTCTTCTCCATTTTCTTCATTTTCTGCTGCTTCATCTACAAATCACCAAAACAAAAACCCATCAAATCATTCCCCCCTTATAAAAACATCACCAAGTTATTTTTACAACAAAATAAAAAACAAACCTTATTATGCCTAATCAACTGCAAATGCTGCACGAGTTTATGAACATCTCTCTCATGTGGTTCTGGAACAACCGCCCTTCCATCCTTCTTTGTCTTCACATCCTTTGGCTTTGACCGAAATGGCAACGAACTTTGCAATGATTTCGGGACCACAACCGGGTTGAACTTCTTCAACGGTCTTTCTATCCTCTGTATTATTATAAAAAAAAAAACGTAATTTACTTGGTTATAATTTAATTTTTCTATATATATCATATACAAAAGATTTACCTTGTAGTGAGAATCTTTGTTGTCAGGAATTGGAACATTATATTCTCTTCTCAACTCCGCTACTGTTCTCACACCGCGCCAGGTGTCGCCACGTGGTTGCAAGGCGGTTGTCAACGGGTTATAAAAACACGGGACATCAACTTGAGTCCACGCGCGCAAAAATACAATATCACTCATTAAAATCTTATCTTCAAAAGTACACCTCGCTATTCCTTCTTCAACTTTTCCCCCCATCTTTTTCGGCTTATTACCCAACTCAATCTTTCCCACCTGTTAACACATCCAAAAATTTCATAAACAATTTTCATACCCAAAAAAATTTAATTTTTTCTTTTTACCTTTTTCACTTGTCCACGAATCCCACTAACAGTTCGAATCGACGCGCCTTCGAATCTAGCCACTTCAAGGTCAGAAGTGAACATTTTTTTAATAAGTGCGGTTTTTTTGTAAATTTTACACGGTTCGCCAACTAGTTTTAATTTTTTAACGATTTTTGCGGAATGGTTGAACTCTAGAACGACCGCAGTAGCTGTGATTCTGAATGATGCCTGGTAAAAAAAAAAAAAGCGAAAAGTTACAGTTTGGCCCTTTGAGAATTAGTATATTACGTTTTTAGTTTTACCTGACTATTTGAGAGATTTTGGACGGCTACGATCCCGGTGTTGGGAGGGGCGAGTGGGCCCCAGAACATGGCGAGGCAGTGCATGTGTTCGGGGGTGTATTTTAGCATACGGTGGCGCCCGTTTATGTCTTCAATGGCGTATATTGGGAGTGTTTGGTAACGCCTCCATCCGATTGAAACAATTATTGGATCTTTTGTTTTTAATACTTTTTTATGCCATCTGTGTCGCTTAAATCTTGCCTGAAAATTAAATTTAATTATTGGTATATTGTAAAATAGTAATTAAAAAGATAAATTAATAAATGTTTTTTTTTATTCTACTAACCTGCATGTATCCAACGTTTTCTTCTGTGAGGCCGATTCCACCAATGAGAAGAGGATGACAAGGGTCAAAATGGTCAATCATTTCGTATGGGACATTATGGATTTCTAATCTGAGGTAGGTTCCAGTGCGGTGACCCTCTATTTCTAACCGTGTGGCCTCATCTAGGTCTTCCAGTTCAGCTATATTTCTTTGTCTCTGAAGCTCAGCTTCCTCTTTCAACTACAACACCCATTCAAGAATTAATAATAACAGAATAAAACTTTTTTTAAATAAAAAATTAAAAAAAAATTGTGGAAAATTTTTACCTTGTCGATATAACTAACTTCATTAGCTTTGTTATTATTATTCTTGACTTTTTTATTGTTGTCATCATCATCTTCATCAGATGAATCGGATTCATTGTATGTATGTAGGAATTAAGGGCACAAAAGCATAGACTTCAAAATCATGTGATTTAATTAATTAATTAATTATTAATTATAAATAAATAAAATGAAATGAATATTTTAAAGGATATTGAGCATCGAATTTTGCACGAAGAGCAAGCTTTTTGAGTCTTCGTTCTTCAGCAACTGAGTCAGGCTCTGTTTTATCACCTTCATTCTTCTCACCTGTTTCCAAGTCTTCAAACTCACCAAACACAGGGGCATCATCGTCATTTTCACCGTCCACGTCAACACCTTCAACTCGACGAGCAGCCTTTGACCAGTCTCCAGTTACAAAACGATCACGAATGCTTTCAATTGTTTCTCCATCTTTCCAGTCTTTTACACTAGCAAAGTTTGTGAACTTGGAACTATCTTCTGTATTTACCATATTGCCCTCCACTCCTTCGCTTAATTTCTTGTTTCCTTCACCTTTGGGCTTGAAAAACTCATCATCATCATCACTTTCATTTACATCCATTTCTTCATGGGAAGAAGCATCTGGTTTTGTTTCAGACTTCCCATACACAAGTTGCATAAGATTAATGCTTTTTCTTGATATTGTCCTTTCAATTAATGATTCTTTCCATTTTGAAGCATTCCCTGCATTTTCTATTTTCAAAAAAACTAATTTTTTATATTGCTTCAATAAGAACAAATCTAGATATGTTAAAAAAATGGAATCTTTTTGTACCTTCTAGATCTTCTTCCTCTTCCTCTTCCTCCTCTTCTTCTTCCTCAGAAGAATTTTGATCATCATCTGAATCATTATCTTCTTCATCATCATCTTCATCAGTAGCCTGTAAATATAAAGTATAAACAACTTACATGAGAACAAATCTTTTGATAAAAAAATATTTCATAGTTAAAAAAGTATATACCTCTTGATCATCAAGGTCACTTTCGTTTCCAAAAACTGCCCTTCTCCTTCTTCTCCCCTCATGAATCTCAACTTCTTCCTGAATGTTATCTTTGACTTTTTGACTATCAGTTGACTTTTCATGAGGGTTGTTATCTTCTTCAGAGTCATCAAGATCTTCTTCATCTTCACTTTCCTCATCAGAACCAACAGTATTAGCTTCCTCCATAGGTTCAATGGAGTTATTTTCATCACCATTTGTAATTTTTCCACTTTGACTAAAAAAATTGATAAAACTATTATTTAACTTCTCATCAACAGAATATTTCGTGTTTTGAAGTGATTTCACAAGATCCGCGCCTACATCTCTAGTTCCTGAACCATCATCTTCATCATCTTTTTTAGAAAACTGAACAAAGTGATCATTAATGTTTATATAAACAGCATCTTTATCGTATAAAAGATCCCCTAATCCAGACATAGGTGCATAAAAAAGCTTCTCTTTATCACGTAACCCTTTCTTTTTTGCAGCTGAAGGTAAAGGGCAAGGATCAGGTAAACCTGTTACACCTGCTACATTATAATCTCCTACACCAGCAATATGCACTTTAGTTCCTTTTTTCATATTGCAACCACGTAAATAACCGTATAATGTCACGTTTCTATCACATTTTTTATTGGTTGCCACTTTATCTGGAGGTGTAACATCTTCAAAACGGTCTACTAGAATGTAAGGATGATTGGTTCTCCAAGAAAGAGGATGGAATTTCATAACAGAAATGAATCTTGCAAGATTATGAACTTCACGTTTCACATACCTGAAAATAATGTTACTTCAGTTATATATGTGTTTTAATTGAATAAAAAGAACATAGAAGTGTGTAAAGAAACTTACTTTCCATGAATAAGACCAGATAAGTAGAATAATTTTGCTCCATCATAAATTTCTGTCCAGAAACGATGTTTGAGTCTTTGTTTTGTCTTTTTGAGTTTCTTGACATCTTTGAACTTATCAAGATGTGTAAGAACACCCATAACTTTTGGGAATCCATGAACTTGCATAATGTTAAGAAACTCAAATGTTTCCTGAAAAATGTATATGTGTATGTCACTATGAGGATTTAGAAAATCATGTGAAAAGTTATTAAAAGAAGTAACAAAAACTCACCATTTCAAAACCATAGCTTCCATCAATAAGCAAAAGTGCAAGATCAGCAAATTTAGCAGCATCAATCATACCATTGATATCATTTGGGCACTCCACAAATTGTAGCCTTCTTTGTTTACCTAATTAAAACAAAAGGGATGTGTATCAAAACTCATGAATACTATGAGTACCAACTACATAGCATACGTTGGAATTTTTTTTATAAACATACCTGATACAATAGTGATTGGACCTCGCACATCGGGTATGTTATGCTTGGTGTAGTGCTTGATAAGAGATTTGATAAGTAGAGACTTTCCAACCTAACATGAAAATGTTACAACTGAGGTTAATTTTTCCACCTGAGGTGTTTAGACTGAATTGGATTCAGCTGATTATGATTGAAGTTTGATGAGAACCTGAGGAGGGCCATGGACAACGATAACATAAGGAGCAGGTTCCCCTGTATTGCGATCAATAGTTGGAATGTGGAGGCGACGCTGCTCTTTCTCTGAAGCACGGGACTGTAAACGCTTAGCTTTTACAGTTGAATTGAATGCGAAAGCCTGCATAACAGTTTAAAGGTTTTGTCAAACTTTTGAAATTGATGGAAACAAAACTCGACTATAAAGCTTTGAAATTTGACCGACTACAATCATATTTACTACATTTTGCTCCAACGTTCCAACACTAGGGCACCAATTCGATCTTGAGGAATGAAATAAATGGTGGCAGATATTAAAAAAAAAAAGGCTATGGATCATGAAAAAACAGGAAAATTAAGAAACATTCGGAAAACCTTAGGGTTTCGCTTCTTATCATCAGTGAGGTCGCGTTTCTTCTTATCAGTACTAGTGTCTCGCTTCGTATCATCGGTGAGGCCGCGTTTCTTCTTATCAGTATCGGATTTTTTCTTGGCTGAGGGGCCAGATTGACGAGACCTGTGAGACTTCTGAGATCGCTCCATGTTCCCTGTGTGTGAGGAAACGGAGATTAATGGCTGCGACAGGGGTTAGCAGAGCTCCTTCGAGGGTTTAAGGTTTTGCGGCGGGAGGTGACAACCGCCCTTCAAAATCTGAAATTACAAAAGATGCCCAATTCTGGCTTAAAAGGGTTCGAACATGGTCTTGCACTTCGTGTCCTTCTAAAATTAGAAAAATATAAATATAGTCCCTTAACTTGTTGCCAAATATTTAGCACAGTGTATAAATCATGTTTCGGAGTTTCACTTACACTTTGTCCCTAGTTTCATTTACACCCGGCTCCCGGGTTGAAGCAAAGAAAATAAGAGAAGAGAAAAGAAAATAATGAGAGAAAAGAAGAGAAAATAAAGTAAAACAAATTTGTCATTTGTGCTCCCGAGTTGGAGAGAAATGGAAGAAAAGTTAAACATTTTATTCTTTCTTTTCAAATCCTCCCAAGTCGGAAGGAATGTTAGGAGGGAAAGTGATCCTTCAATTTCCTTTCACTTCCTTCCTTTAATGAAACTCGGGAGCATCAATCTCTCTTACTTTCCTCTCATTTCCACCAATTTCCTTTCTTTTTTCTCCTTAAGTTGAACTCGGGAGCGGGGTGTTAAGGGAAAGAAAAGAAAAGATAAGAAATATGGAGAGAAAAGAAATGAAGGAAAAGAAAAATAAAATGTATTTTCCTGTTCCCGAGTTCGAGATCGAGAGAAAGAAAATGAAGATTATTTTTCTTTGTGTTCCCAAGTTTGAGGGAAAAGAAATGAAAACTAAAAGTAGACAATTATACTTTTGTCACATTTTTTTTCTCATAATTTCAAATATATACCACGCGATTCTTTTGAAAACAAAATTATGTCTAGACTATTTATTTTTATTTTTTTTTGTCAACTGTTGCCTACCTCTCGACTTCTTTACTTATTTTTTTCACATGTTTATTTATGCAAAAATCATTAACGCATAATTCATTATTAATCACAATTCTAGTATGTTCTTCATTTGTATTACTTTTTCAAACAACACCAATATAAAATGGAACATAAGTCAATAAACCCAAAATGCATAAGCTGATAGATAACATGAAGTCACGCAAGATAATCAAACAAATTCGTAAGAAACCAATTTAAAGTCAATGCAAAATACTCAAACAAATTCCAATGTTTGAACTCAAACCAAAAACCAAAAAGTATGAAGTCAAACTGATAAAAATCAAAAAACTATCATCCTAAGTAAGTCATTTACTTGCACCCATCATTTTTTTCAGCAAACTTTTTCGTATTTTAAATGGAACTCTAAATAATGTCCCCGCATCAGATTGATTTCGCGAAAAAAACATGAGAGCTTTTGCTAATTCATCGGGTTCCAAATCCATTGGCTCTAACTCTTTATAAATTTCATCACTAGTATAAACCCGATGATGAGAGTTTTTGAAGATTTTGTTACCTTCCCTCATAGCATAAGCCACATCTTTAACTGCACTCATAATAACCTTTTCAAACGATTCAGGTTCATCTTCATCTTCAATTTCATGTTTCCTTTTTTACTTTTGTACTTCTTAGAACTTGAATTTGCATCGGTGAAAAGCATGTAGGAGATAACACTTGAATGTCATCATCACCATCATCATCATTTTCTGTTGTTTTTCAAGTGTTATGTCATTTCTTGCTAGTAACTCATCCACTTCTTCAATTGTTTCTACTTTGATATCCCCAGTCATGTTCAATCGAGCATTCTTCTCTTTCGGGGTTTCAACATGCACCCCTGAAGCTCTATCTCTCGCAAATGAAGCTATCATTTCATTGTAGTTTGGTATTTTTTTGGACTTTAATGAAATTTCCTCAGGCTTTGACTGTAACACACAATCCCAAATATAGTTATTGTTAAGAAAAATAACATAAATGTATACAAACTAAGTAACATGCAACACAAAAACTTACATTAATTAGGTTGGCCCGCACTCCCTCGTCCGCTTCAATTAGTTGTGTTTCAGAATTCCAACTGAACCCACTCAATAAAGTTCCGCTGAACATGTCATACCATTGGGAAAAACCTGATTTTAAAGTTTCCAAACGATTCTTTAAATGATTTTTTTGTTAAACTCTTCCCAGACTTTTGATTAAGCTCCTCCACCATGTTGGTGTACGCTTGTGGGATGAAACTCCCACTAATACTTAATCATTTCTCTTGTTGTGTCAACATAGCTTGAATAAAACAATAATCCATCCAATATGTCCATTTTATTTGTTCTTTCTTACTAACTTGTTCTTCCTTGATCATTATGACCTGCATAACATCATAAATAAACGAACCATGCATTGATAACATAAAAAATACATACTTAGAAAGTGTACAAGTAATAAGTAAATAACATGCTCAAAAGATAAATAACACAAATAAAGTCAAACACTAACGATCCATACAAAATCAAGTCAAACACTAACAATCCATACAAAATCAAATTGAAATGCTATAATAAAAAACTAGCAGCTACATTGACATATCTATCTCATGGTTTGGATTTGGTAAGTAATTAGTCCACATTTGATTTGAAATTAAGTTTCTCATTCGCTCTGGCGCAGCATTACCCTCACTTGTCTCTCTTATATTATGTTGCACTTCCTCTCTTGGTTCATTTAACATCTCCTGTAGGACCTCATCTTCAAGATTTTTGTCTCGATCTTCTTTTAACAAAAAGTTATGTAAAATACAACATGCCAAGAAAATGTCTGATTGTGTTTCACAAGAATAAAAAGTTCTTGTGTACTTCTAATGATAGGAAACCTTCTCTTTAGAACACCAAATGCACATTATATAGCGTTACGTAATGAAGCATGGCAGAGATTAAACAACTTTTTTGCATTTTATGGGGCCCGAGCAAAATACTCTTTCAAATGATACCTAACACCGCGATATGGTGCCATAAGTGTAGTTGTGTGAGGCAAACCAACATCTACCAAATACTATCGGCCAACAAATAAGTTGTAATTAGTTATGTATTAAAAATTAGATTACACATTAGAGTAATTTTGGTATTAAAATTTTACCCTTTGGATTTATAGTTTATCTTCTCTATTGAGTGCATTCTTTAGTATCCTTGAGTCTGATGTTGTACCCTCCTAACCATTTAAAATGTACGTAAAATTTAAATCAAATGTACAAGCAGCTAAGACATTTATCGTAGGGTATCCATTGTGCCTACGATATCTAGGGGCATCTTTGTTAAGTACTTTGACATGAACATGTGTCCCATCAATTGCCCCTATACAATTCTTGAAGTAAGGATAAAATCGTTTTTTTTCTTGAATTTCTTTTTGTACAATGTCACTTTTTGGTTGTTGAATATAATGACTTTCTAGCGATATAATTGCTCGGAGAACTCTATGGAAGCACCTACTTGTAGTGGATTTAAAGCGACGGTATAGCCAAGAGACAAATTGATTTCTAAAATCCTTGCCGACAATGTGCAAAAATCTTGTAACATGCTCTTCAACGGACATGCGTTGAGTATCTCAAAGACCACCATCTTGTTGTAAGGTAATTTTTATAGAAGGTAATTTTGTAACATGCTCTTCAACGTCGCCGTTTTAAAATAAGTTTTATAGAAGGTAATTTTGGACGGTTTGTGTTGGCAGGGGAACGATGTGTCAGAATGGCCATCAACAAGCAAATCAGATGAACTACTTGCCTTTGCCTGACTCTCAGAAATTGAGCGGGTGTTTGTAGCTTACTATCCATCGAAAATGTTACCTATTTTATGAAAATTATTAAATTGTGAGTCGTGTGTTATATGTGGATGTATAGGTTATAGTATGGTTATAGTTGCTTACTCAAACCAAAGGTAGATTCAAGGGCAAAAAGTCCATGAACTTTGAGAAAGATTGAAAAATAGAAAGGTCAAGAGATGTTTAACAATGTGGATTGGTTAAGGAGCCTATGACTTGAGTTTTAAATATTTATTGCAGTAAAGTGGTTCTAAAATTGTTATAGCTAACTGTATGCACATCAATATCTTGGTATGTTTGTTATACAAAAATACAAAGAGCCAATACTACTACATAGAAAACACAGCAAGTTTAAAGGTTAAAAAATTCAAGGCTTGTGGATTCCACATGATTGCCACCATGCACCCGACATCTAAAAAAATCATTCCAGCCTCCCCTAGGAGTGGTATAATCCATCAAACATGGATATAAAAGGAGTTGAATTCCATCCGTTTGGCAACCAAACGCACCACAAATGGAATCTTGAATTCCATAGGAATCCGCAAAAGTAAATATATCAAACATAGTCTTCCTGATGAAAACATTACATAACGTAATCATACAATGAGAACCATTTGAACATGGAAGTCATAACCTAGACTCCTTATGCGATTGATTATTATTAATTTTGGGTAAACCATAACAAAAAAGCGTTCCTCGTCATTAATATGTTTGCTCGCGGCAATTGTAGCCTCTCGGGAGAATTGATGACTGCATCTTTGATGCACTGCTAGTACTAGTACATCTGAGAATTATTATCCAGGAAGTACACAAATAAGCTGAAAACTTTTCAATGAATCTTAAATTACAGTTTTGTGAGTATGTAAATGGATATTGCAATTCAGAGAACATGTTAACATCATCAAAGATATTGATAAAGGGTGGCACAGTTGTAAATGTTGATCATCAGTAGGTTGTTGATGTTTATGTTGAGGATGGAGTTATTGTTGCTGTTAGGCCTAATATTAAGGTACTTCTTTCTCGATCCTCAAACTATGTTTCTTGGGCTATTAAATGTAAATATTATAAGAACATTACTGAATTTAAAACTATTCAATGAACACTAGGTAAATTGGTTGTTCCTATCATCAGAACCGTTGAATAAGAGAATTTTCACGCTCTTTGACATTTGGTTGAGACTCTTAGGTCCCAAATCGGTAGTCTTATTGGTATGGTTGGATGACAGTGCGTTGTTCTTATGAGTCGGGAGACTCGGTGACCAGTTGGTTTGGATCATGTGGTTAGGAAAAGTTATTTATAATGGTATATTATTTATGCACCGGAAGTCGTATAATGAATGGTAGTTATGGTGGACCTTATCTTCTTGTGGGATGTCTATTAG